GACATAAAAAACAGTAATAGAATTGATGAGTTTAAACATAAATATAAAGGTATGTGTCAATCAAGATATATGCAAGAACAGGCTTAATGATTAATTAGGTGGACAATTGTGGGTGTGATGTACCTTTTGTAAATCTTTTTTAGTATATTACTTGTGTGATGTCATTTACTTTTTCCCCTATAAGTTCATTCATCAATTCCCCGCTCAGTTTTTCTGTTTTCATGTCTGTGTGTCTTCTGTGAAACAAAGGAAAATTTCCACTGCATACAAAGCCTAAATTATTTAACAGGCCAAGTGACAGCAAGCCACACTGCTGCAGTGCAGGTTGTATTTGACATATACTGAAGATATTATTTTAATGATTTGTACTAGTACATTGGTGAGGTGGTAGTGCTCCTTGAGAACTGAACTCTGGTGAGAATTCAAAAATTGCCTGTGATTGAATTATTTTTAACCACAAGTTAGCAGAAAACCCCTGCTATTACGCACACTAAAAATGCACTTAACAGTACATGGCACGTACACTACTAAATAATACCACAGTTAATATATGATCAGGTGTAATCCATTTAAATAAAAGTAATTTGTTCAGATTTATTTCGTGAATCAATTTATTGATATTGGATGTTTTAGTGAACATACCTGTATTCAGTTTGAGGAGGAACTACTTAAGGTTGCTTAGATTGTATGTGGTATCGGTAACTGCCGGAGTTACGTGTGGTTTGGTTTGGGTGGGGTACTCTTCAGGTTTGAGTCGGACAAAAAGTTCGACACGCTTTATCTACAACCCAGAATTGGTTGTGACTGCTAAACTGCTGAATCAGGCTCAGCTGGTATTGTAAAGTAACTAACATATAATCTACTTCTCAAAAAGTAAATGTTAATGGTAATTTGTTTCAATAGTATAAACTGACTAAGAAACCCCCCCTATTATGCACACTAAAAATGCACTTAACAGTACATGGCACGTACACTACTAAATAATACCACAGTTAATATATGATCAGGTGTAATCCATTTAAATAAAAGTAATTTGTTCAGATTTATTTCGTGAATCAATTTATTGATATTGGATGTTTTAGTGAACATACCTGTATTCAGTTTGAGGAGGAACTACTTAAGGTTGCTTAGATTGTATGTGGTATCGGTAACTGCCGGAGTTACGTGTGGTTTGGTTTGGGTGGGGTACTCTTCAGGTTTGAGTCGGACAAAAAGTTCGACACGCTTTATCTACAACCCAGAATTGGTTGTGACTGCTAAACTGCTTTTAGTTATGTGTTCAAATATAGTGCGTGTCCATACTGATCCATCTTGGACCGTGAAAAGTGTTGTTCAGCATTCACCACAAGATGGCGGTAGCTCCCTAAGTAGCTGTCGTGTATGGCCCCGGTAGAACGACCGAAGAAGACAGGTTAGCTAGAACTCTGATCCCCGTTTCATTTACACCTGTTTCTTCAGGTTAGCAACTCTCAGGGAAGCCTGTGTTGTGCGGTTCTCTTCAGGTTTGAGTCGGACAAAAAGTTCGACACGCTTTATCTACAACCCAGAATTGGTTGTGACTGCTAAACTGCTTTTAGTTATGTGTTCAAATATAGTGCGTGTCCATACTAATCCATTTTGGACTGTGAAAAGTGTTGTTCAGCATTCACCACAAGATGGCGGTAGCTCCCTAAGTGTAGCTGTCGTGTATGGCGCCGGTAGAACGACCGAAGAAGACAGGTTAGCTAGAACTCTGATCCCCGTTTCATTTACACCTGTTTCTTCAGGTTAGCAACTCTCAGGGAAGCCTGTGTTTGGTCAGAATAATAACAGTTGAATGTAAAGGCGGTGTTCTCGGATAAACATGGAATACATTTAGCAATTTCTGTCTGTGAAGTACAGAAACTTACTGAAGTCATTGCTAGCTATCTTTTTTCTTTTAATGCTAGTTCCACAGCAGTTCTTTCGTTAGCTCAATTAAAATAGAGGGGTCGTAGTTTGGTTTCGTCTTAATATAACGCAGCGGCTCTCCCATATAAAATTTAATGTGTTAAAGGGACGTTGTCCTCAGCCTTATTTTAGCTCTTTAGAGTCTGTCCTTCTATTGAAAAGCTGCTAGCACGCTAAGTGCTAGCTACAGTCCATTCCAAACTACCTGACTGTCCGACAACTGCAGACCGCCTGGTAACATTAGGCTGTTTTATGCAGAAGTTATTAGTTAATCTTTTAAAACAGCAGTGAATGACTGTAAAAATGTGTATAAAAAAGCGTATGCTTTATTACGAATGTTATAAAGAAAAACTAAAACCATACCTTGTTTATAAAGTCTGTTTTCAGATTATAATCTGAAAACAGACTTTACTCCAAGACCCTTTAAAATACACTGGATTGTGGTTAATACACAGGTCTAGAGAATAAAAAGTTTTACATTGATTTTCAACATCAAAGGTTTAATCATTTTTCTGTCTTGCTGGATTGAAGTTGTTGTTGTTGCCAAATTAAACTTAAAAGTTGTCTGGAAAGCAATGGTTTACTGTGGGATCAGAGTTCCCAAATCCAGAGAGAGGTTGGTTCTTGGATGAATTTGTTTAATTTGTTCTCATTTCTCAAAATGTCTTGAGCAATGAGAAGATATACATTCCCCCCTCAAACTTAAAATATAACTATTTTAACAGCTGAAACAAGCAGCCAGTTGGAAGGACACCAGTAACCATTTTGACAACTGAATAAATCAGTAATTTTTCAAGAAAAAGTTGGAATTAACAGGCTGTTTACAAATGGTTTCTTTTGGGCACAGGGAATTGGAATGGGATTTTCCCCCCACTTTTTTGTCATTACATGCAATAAACAAGCTCCCTGTACAGAAATAAATCATTATCAAATGAATTGCTAATGTAAATAATTGTTACAGTAGTTGCTCTCACATGATGATGCTGCCCTTTACAGATAAAGAATCCAGGAAACCCATTGCTATATATTTCTTCCAACTAAAACTTTGTTGTGCAGAATGTAGAGATCATCACAGTAGTTAAATCATCTTAAGATCACTCCTGTTTCTGTTTGTACTGTTTTCACCTCTGACCTCGTATATTTGTGTGTTTCAGATCTACGATACAGAGGGGACGTTACAGCACTTTATCGACGGCAATGATCCCAGTAAATCCAGCTGGATGAGGTATATCCGCTGTGCCAGACACTGTGGGGAGCAGAACATGATGGTCGTACAGTACAGGTAAGATCAAGTCTGATTGTCAGACTAATGTTTGGCAAGTGTTTGTCATCCAGAAATGTGAAAAAAATATATGTAGTGTATACCAAAGTGATGTAACAACATAACACAAATGCACCATGAACGTACACATAATTCAGCTTAGTAGGCTCCAGTATGAATATTAATTCCCAGTCACTGTTGGGCACCCTCAGCTGACTGAAAGGAGCAGGATGAAAGTGATGGACCATTTTAGAGACACCCAATACAAAACGGTATGCGCTGTTTCAAAGCGCATATTGTAAAGCAGTTGTCAGATGTTTCTTAAAACAGTTCAGTGCTTCTCTTTTGTAGATTTTAAATGATACATGTTTTTCTTTTGAGCCTGCTGTATTTCCCTGAAAAGTGGGCATGGTAGCTAGTGCTAATATTGCTATCACAGCTTCTGTTGTTGAGGGGAATGAAAAGTTGTGTTAAACTGGATCACCGGGGCAACTGATTAGTCTCTGAGAGAGCTCAGAATAAACATAGCTTTAGTCAGTCATTTAATAGAAAATAAAGTAATACTAAACTTGTCTTTTGTAAAGTCTATAATTTGATGTGAAATTCTGTGGGTTCACTTAAATAAGTTTAATCCAAGAACAAGTGCTACACAGAGTTCTTGTCAGTTGTTTTACAGAAGCCCTGTTCCGAGAAAGCATTTAAAACACATAATCCATGTTTTTACAGTTTTAATGTTGTGTAATTTGTTTAAAGAAACAATGCACAAACTTCCAACTTTCTAACTGGCCTATAAGGCCATGTTTCAAAAATAATACATTTAAAAAGTCAAAGCTGAGGAGCAAAGTGTGAACATCTGGTAAATATATGCATTCAATAGAACAGTCATTTAAGTATTATAACCATGTTTTCACAAAACAAAAAAGAAATAAAAAATATGTAACATTGTCACCTGTGCAGTTAAAATCTGTATTATAATGGTGCATATGCCTCAGTTCTTAAGAAACATGCTGTTAAATCAAACATTTTTCTCATTGTTGTATGTCTCTAAACTCTAAACAAAACACAAAGCAAAGAACACACCTTATGAAACAATGTGAATTATTACTGTCACTGTTGATGGGCACAAAAATCACTCAGCGTTTATAGATAGACGTTTAAGACAAACAGCACCGCTGTTCAGTGCAGATGGTAGTTTGTCACAGTGTCACACTTAACATTTACAGCTCTTTGGCTGCATTTCTCATAGATTAGTTAAATGTTAAAAAGTGGGCTGATAATGATAATAGCAAACAGAACAACATTATGCTCCACTGCAGGATTCCCTCTTGTTTGAGATGCTGTATTTCCTCCTCCTGTTTGTTCCTCATATCTTTTACTGTATCATCATGCTCTTGTTTTTGAGCAGCCATTTTCTCATCATGCTCTTGTTTTTGAGCAGCCATTTTCTCATCATGCTCTTGTTTTTGAGCAGTCATTTTTTTATTATGGTCTTGCTTCAGATCCTGTATTTCCTTGCTGTGGTTTTTCTTCTGATCTGTTATTTTTTTGTCATATTCTTCTTTCAGAGCCATCTTTTCTTTTGCATGGCTGTCCTTGAGGTTCCTTATTTTGTCTTCTTGGTCTTTGGCTTGATTTCTTATTTTCTCATCGTACTCTTGTTTTAGGTTTGTTATTTTGTCATCATCTTGATTCATTTGTGTTAGTTTGTTAATGTAGGGTTGGATTTTATCAAGCACTATTTTTTTTGTTATGTCTGTAACGATGCCTTTAAAGATGTCTTTACAGACATCTTTACAGACATCTTTAAAGATGTCTGTAAAGCCATTTTGCTTCATGGAGCTCATGTTGTCTTCATGTTCCTGCTTCAGATGCTTTATTTTGTCCTCATGCTGCTGTGTCAGAGTCCATAGTTTGTCTTCATGTTGTCGCTTTAAACCTGTTATTTCACC